TTATAACATAAGGATTTTACAGTCCCTATTGAGAAGGAAAACTACTTATTCAGCAAAAAAATTTCTTAAAAAAGATACGTTACGAAGCCGAATGATTTCACACGACTAGCGCGCGCAAATGACAACACTTAAGTCATTAGAGAGCTTTAGATTCTAAGACGAGAACGCCAGGACTAGGAGTACGAGATTTTCTCAATACCATGGATAACCGCGTCAACAAGCGTCATTAGGGAATTTAAGATCCAACGACGCGGACGACAACGAGAACGTCAAAAAAAACAATTGGTTTAATAAGCAAAACAACAACTTCGCACGTGCATCACACTTCTTTGTACATTTCTTTCCCGTTTTTGCACGACTACGACGTGAAAATGCCTAATTTCGCGTTTTATGGAGAACGTAAACAAGCAACGACGAAATTTTGTTTCTCTTTCTGAGCTTGAATTTGGTCCCTTGAAATTCAGCTTCAGGAGGGTTCGCCTACAATTGACAAAGTAAGTGGGTAGGAATAATCCCTATAAAGACTGAAAGAACGCAAATTCACTTTTTACGCGACGTCCTTGTCGCCGTCGCGTCGTTGGATCTTAAAGTCCCTATTTTGGCAGGAAAACGTGGTAGCCGTCATCATTCTACTACGAGTTTTAGCGAGAGTGTCGTATTAGCGTTTCAGCGTTTTTCAGTCGTGAGAGGGCTCAACCTGCGTCAATACCGATAACAATGCTAACTTTTCTGGTGAAAAAAAGTGCAATGAAGCTTTCCGGTATGTCTATTTTTTGGCAATACGCGAAAAAACTTTAAATCAAATCTTGTACTCTTAGTCGTTCCTCCACCCCCCACCAAACAGTCATCCATAAACCACACATTAACGACGTTGAACTTGGTTAGTTTGCTAAAACCCATAACCATTTATATCACAAAACTGACTGCAGGGCTGGTGCGACGGCAAAGGGCTGATTTATTATAGGCCAAACATTAACCACAAGGGACTGCAAAGGGCCTCAAACGAATATGCCGAAGAACGTAGGATCTATAAAGACCTGATCAGCAAAATTAATAGTGTAGACATATTAAATTCTGCAAGCAGAATACTGCAATGCTGATCGTACTACGTGAAAATTAACTCTGCAAGACATCAACACGACACCGAAAGAACCCAAAAAAGAGCGGGATTGTAGCCATAGACAGCTGTCTCGCCCGCTTTGGGGCTCGTTTATTGTTTATTGTTTTGTTTGCCATAGGTAAATGTACAAAGCAAAAAAAAATCTAATTATTTAAACTCTCATGGCGAGGAAGCCCAAGAGAAGCCACCGGGTTTATAAGGAATGGGCAGTTAAATAATTAGAACAAAATAATATCATAATTACACATGGGAAAAATCAACGGCAGATCAATCAATCTTAAAATGTATTAGATAGTCGTACTAATCATAGTTCTAGGCTATGTATAGTGTAAGTATAGCGTCAGTATAGCGTAACAACCAGAGATCAGGCGTTACGCTATACTGACGAGCCCCAAAGAGGGCGAAACAGCTGTCTATGGCTACAATCCTGCTCTGTTTTGGGTTCTTTCGGTGTCGTGTTGATCGGTGTTGATGTCTTGCAGAGTTAATTTTCACGTAGTACGATCAGCATTGCAGTATTCTGCTTGCAGAATTTAATATGTCTATATTATAGGCCAATATTTATATCAGGCGCAGATTCCTTTGGCTCCTTAGGGTGTGAACTACCGTAAGAGTAGATTTGTCAATAGCCTGCGAAAACATCCGTTTCTCCTCGCTCTTCGCAGAGAACGGATGTTTTCGCAGGCTAATTTGTCAAAGGTCAGGTGTCCAGTAATATAAGACGAATCTGATGGCGTCCGGCGTATGGGCGTTATATAAAGGCCGATCAACATTTACTTTTGAGAGGATTAGGGTAATTTCGTTCGGGCAAGAATCATTTCCTCCAAGCCTTCTACTGATCGAATTTTGTCTCTTAATTTATTTTGGGGGTAAATTTTCAAGTCTTAACTCCATTTAGATTGTTTTCGTTCCAAACCTTGCAAGTCACTCAACCACCTCACCCTGCTGTAGTCGGACTCCCAGCAGAGGCCCTTTTAATACTAAAGAGTTTGTCTGGGACGAACTTCCGGTGGTTTGAGTTCTGTCTGTAACGACTTGACCCATTTTTCCAAGGTTACAGGTGTGACTCGAACCCAACACTTCTAATTCTAAAACGCACAAGGTAAAGCAACCTAATCTGAAGATACAATGTGCGGTTTTCAAAAGCACAGTAGAAGACGAATTTTATGTTTTTACTAGTATCAGACTGTAGATCTTTATCTGGGTTCTAGTTTCTTCCAGGAAAGGAAGTCGAATTGATGAATTGAAATTTCCCTTGCCCCAAGTGACCCTTACTTATACTTAAAATTGTATTGCAAAAGATTTACTCAACTTGCTAGCGCTCTAGCGAGAGGAAAGGTCATTGACGTCATTGACGTGTTTCCTGTTGACTCAAAGATGATGGACTAAACGTGAGGAGTGGGGTGGGGAATGTTCATTAGAAAGCTAGGACCTCAGTAACTTCATACAAAATAAATCTACCAAACTTACATTTGTTCAGTTTTTGAAGAAACTTAAGTCGAGAGTGCAAACCATGCCTAAAAACTTCTTTGCGCGCCATTTTCCGCCAATTTATCTGTAGCTCATCCTCGGAGACCCAGGGGCAGGTAGTGGGGGCGAGGGAAAGTCTAAACGGGCGGGAAAATATGGCACAAAAGAAAAGTTCTTTAGTTTTCTTCGTGCCTTATTTTTCCGCCCGTTTAGACTTTCCCTCGCCCCCACTACCTGCCCCTGGGTCTCCGAGGATGTCTGTAGCTGCAAGTGGATGATGACGTAGTGGCTTGACACTTCCACAGTCCCCACTCCTCTGGTTACCGTCGCTTTTCGAGCAAAATGTAAGCTAATGCGGAAAATTGAAGGCTTATTCTTAAAGTAAGGTTAAGGGAAGGTTTGCAGGAAAGGTAGAGCAACTTCCTTGTTAAAGAAATCTCGTAATCTGCAAGATTCACGGGACAAGAAGTCTTTAACTTTTTTACAAACAACTAAATATGGCGTCTGCAAGCGTCGCTTTATGTACTCCAAGAAGCTCTTCTTGCTCGACAGGTGAGTGGACTGACAGGGTGGACTAGACTTAAGCTTACTAGTTTATGAGAATAACGCATGACTTCTGTGAATCTTTTGCCCCTTTGGAGAATGGGCAATGATTATTGTTGTTAATATTGTTTGGCTGGCAAACTCGAAACGAGCAGATACTAAAGTTTTTTAACAAAAGCGACCAAGGGATTTTGTTCAAGAGTGTTAGCGCAGTTGTTTCTGGCATAACCTAAATAAATGATGAAAACTCAAATGGTCGTAAGTTGATAGTTTTATCTGGTTTTATACAGCCCTCGAGACCTTCGACAGTCGCCGTGAAGCACTGAATAAGCTGATTCTTTCAAAGGGTTGAACTTTGAAAGCCTTTTCTCATCAATGCTTTACAAAAGTCGCCGTTATCTTTATAATCGGATGGACTTTAATTTGCCAATCAATTTTGTTTGTAAAGTCCCTGCAAATTTTGCTTGGTCTTTTGATAACTTCATTAGCATTATTCATTACCAGTTGAATGATTTAATGCTTAGTGAGTTCTATATGTCACTTAAGACCTTGCTAATTGATTTTGAATTTATAGTTTACAAGGACAATCAGATAAAACGGTTCTAGAACTGTGCTTTACGAACGATCAGTTTTAAATTGCAGATGTAGCACATATCAACTTTGTAAAATGTAAAACTTTGAAAGTTTTTATGTAAATTAGTAAGGAAAGTCTGAACTAACAGGAAGTGCTAAGTGTGTGGTGGAAAAGTTTGTATGAAATTTGATATTTCTTAAAATTTGATCTGTTAAATGTCTTTTAGCCAAACCTCTTAAAAAGTGTAACTTCGCAATGGTCATGGGACAGATCAAGTGAAAAGTTTGGTGATGTAAGCAGGTTTTGATCTTGTAATTTCCGAGAAATGGTCTATTTTTGTTACCATGGCATTACTGAATCTCACAAGGGGTTTTCTACCACCAATTGTTTCTTCCCTTTTAAGGAAAAAATACTTAAGAAATAACACATCAGAGTTATTTTGCCATGATGGAAAATTAAGCTCACAGATGCTGAATTCATGCTGCTGTAAGTTTTGTTTCTTTTTGTCTGATCTCCAAATATTTGGCTCAAAGTCAACAGAAGTATCTTAATTATAGGAGACATTTTGTTAAAATTTAGTATCATCTCGGTTGTAAATGTATTCTACCCAACTTGGTGAGTATAAAACTATTGCTGAGGCTGTAGTAGAGATGTAGAGTAAAAACTTTAAAGATTATTTTCTTGTCATCTTTACTTCTCATATTTGCTAAATTCCTGTACATAAAAGTAAAACTCTACTAGTGTTCTGCTACAAATGCCACAGTTTTATTTATTGGTTCATATGCTTGACATCAGTATATTGTAAACTGCACAATACAATATAGTATACCAACGGTTGTAATCTGCACATTGTGTTTATAATTAATATTAAACTGTTAACCACTGAGCTAATAAAATTGTAAAAATGCTCAATGTGTTGTAATCTGCTGAAGTGTTTGCTGTCCAATAATTGTTTGCAAAGTGTGGAAGTCCTAAAAGGTCAACAAATCAATCCTCCCTTGTTAACCAAGAAATTAAATTGAAAGTGTAAAAGAGTATTGCCAACTCAGTCGAATATTGTAAACCGGATTTTCAACCGTTTGGGATAATCACAGGGTCAATATGGGACTAAACTCAGGTGAATTATCCAGTTTTGTGCTGCGTTATATATTTCATGAAAGCTTTTAAGCCAGAAAATCCAAAATGCAGTCTCACTTTTACTGTTGCAGGGCTGTCACTAAGATTTCAAGTTGCTGGGTAAATACAACAAGCAGGCAGCTAGGGATTTGTTTTGGTTTTATTTTTCTTCTATTTTCCTATGAAAGTAGCTGAGGACCACATCCTTAGTAGTCAGGAGAAATCCCTGACCCCTGCCTCTTAATGACAGCCTTGACTGTTGTGCAGCTGACAAATATTATTGTACAGTGTTGGAGTAATACTAGGAACATATGGCATAGGTTTTTGTGGATGATTGAAGCTGTATGCTTGGAAAACAGAGATGTGGACTGTTTGTTAATGTTTCACAACTTTCCTTAAGTAGCTTTGCAAACAATCTGTTTCATGAAGGCAAGAAATGGTGCAAAATATATTGCACAGTTTACAAGATACTGTGTATAATTTAATACTTTGTAGGGAAAATCTATAATTCTCGGGGTATAAAGCAAGTATTCAACCTATTACTGTTTGTAAATTGTGTTAGAGTTTTAGCCTTGTAGCCTACTAGGTTGAATTTAATTAAGTGCTGGTTTTGTGTGAATATAGATTTTACAGAATTTGTTGTGCAGTAAAAATTAAGTCCTCACGATCTATCAGCTATTACCCTGCGAGCAGAGGCTACATTTTCGCGGTATGAGCTGGCGTGCGGAAAGTAGCCTCTGCCGACAACCGTTCAATTTTCTATCGTGCATGCGCAAAATTCGTCACGCGATTCGCAAGCAACTGGTTCGTCAAATCTGCGTGAGTTTCAAGGAAAACTACCTGCGAACTACTCTCCTCGAGCTTCTGTTTTGTTTTTCTGCTTCGCCCTTCTGGTTTTAACTATTTTAGCCGCAAAATTTCCACGGATCGTCTTTTTTTAGGAAAGTATTTTTATGCTATCAACTGTAGTAAGTTCTGTCTGTTTTGGCGAGAAGCACATTTTTCCGGCTTTAATATTACCTATTTATAGTTGTGCTCAAAGTGAAAATGAAATTACCGACAACGCCACGCAGAAGTGATGTTTGAAATAAATTGGATGCTGTAGTCTCACGATTGTGTTTTAAACTAATGTTATGAATGAACATAGACAAAACAGTAGTCAAAAAAAATTATTTATCGAAAAATTTTTATTCGACAACCCATAATTTTATCCTTAAAAGCAATTAGCGTAATACTAACTGGATTGTGGATCATTTCACATAGTAAAAGCTGCCAAGACATCAAATGTCAACGCCAAAATCCGTCTCAAGTCGTATAAAACATCTATGAAACAACTATAAATACTTAAATTTCCATTTAAAACGGAACTTCCTTGACCATTGATGTGCAAGTTGTACCTGAAAATTCTTTAAAAACTTTGCCGCCTTGGTTTCTTTTCAGAACAGGAGAAGCTTTCCACCGTGAAGAAACCAACCAGGTTGAAGTCCTTGAGGGCGAATCAGTGTTCAGCCAAAAGCTTTTTTTCTACTTTTTCCACCAAAAGAAAACTGATCGATGATTCTTTTGAACATTCCGGTTCCCATTTGTGTCTTAAAACAGTGCATTTAGCCTTACATTGAGAGGCGACACAACAAAAATCACCGCAGTATCCATTTTCTTTTCCTGGCAAACAAGAACTACCATAATGATAAATTAACGATCTTTACACGGTCCCGTATAAAGAAGCACCGGCAGCAGCTTGTTTTGGTATTCCGACAGCTTTAAAATACAGAGCTTATTCAAGTTGTTGACGACGCTCTTTTAAACACATAAACAGGAATGTTTGAAGTTGTTTTGAACTTTTCCTGTTGCTACGTTCGAAACTACGTTGATCCACGTTCAGTATCACGAGAATTTGGCGCGAAGGAATGCATGAAGGCGCAGTAATGGTCAGCGTTCATTCGCTGACGCAAGACTCACGCAATGCTCTAAACCGGTCAAGAACAAGAAAAAACCGGTTTTTTTTAATTTATTCGTCCAGATTTCTGGACGGATTTGAACGGTTGTCGGCAGAGGCTACTTTTCGCACGCCAGCTCATACCGCGAAAATGTAGCCTCTGCTCGCAGGGTAATCAGCTATAATTAGATAATGAATCAATTCAAAGAGGACAGACTGCAAATTGTTGTTGCTCAAAATATCTAATAGTTAAAACTGTTCTTCGGTAGGATGCGTAAAATGTGTGCAATTCCACATTTGGTTTTGGCTTCATTAAATTCTTAAAAGAGAGATATCTATATTACAAGTCAAAGTTAAATAATTTCAGGTTTAATTTCTTAGCCTAATGCTCCATTCACACAAACTTAACATGTTTAATTAAACGAGGTTTTTAAAAATGAAAAGCAAATACTGAAAACTGGAATGCAGGTTTTCACACAGGATTCAAATGAAACTCAATATGTTTTGTAATTTGCACTAAATTTGCAATTAACTTACGTCAGTAAGCAGCTTTTATGAAGAAAACAATTTAAACTGTGTTGAACTAAACAGCCTTTAAACACATGACTTTTTTAATCTTTGGTGTCAGTGGGACTGTTGTTTATACCAATTTCCTTTGTCTCCTAACCCTAATTAAAAATATTAAAATAAAATCACTAGGAAGTGCCGAGTCATATTTGAAATAGAATGCCTATAGAATAAATTACAAGGAAGCTCACTTTTCATTTCTATCAACTTTGATTATTGACTTAATGCCCTTGTCAACTAATCTACTGAAATCACTAGTTTACCTTCACCTTCAACTTCAAGTTTTGTAAAGAGTAAAATTAAATTGTTCTGTTACTAATATTTTTTCTAGATAATATGTCAGAATGTATTGTTCACAAGGAAAGTCTCAGGTGTCACTGGACGACTCATCAATCATCATTACTGCGCTCCAGATCCCGTCGTCCCCTATCTTTGGATGACAGTCGTGTTGCTGAAGCGTGCTTAGTCGACAGTCCATTTGACATGTCTCAATCATTTGGTGATGACTCTAGTGTATTTTCGGCTTCACCCCGATCCACTGAAGTAAATGGAAGTTCCTTGTTTGATTTGACTCCTACTAGACCCTTCAGTACATCACCAAATCCACAAAGACGTTTGTTTTCATGTCCGGAAGGTGAGACGTATACTGTTAATGAAATTAGACACCGGTCAGACATGCATTAGTTTAAAGCCAGCTGAGCAAGGATTCGTACTGTTGGTTGGTGCGCAGCCTTCTCCATGGCAGGTCTTGAGTTTGATTTCTGGGTGTGATGTCAAATCCTTGGTTGTTGTTTACCGTGCGCAAAAAGTCTCCGGAAAACCTGGTCAGAAAGTAAATGGAACTCAACTTTTTTGGTTGTCCTAGTGGAAAATTTCTGGGAGCAAGCAAACATCTGAAAAGGCAGTCCTGTTTTTCCGGAACAGAATGTTCCAAAGGGAAATTTCTGTTCCATTTCTTGAAAGCCATCTTTGATACCAGTTTCAGGCCTTTCTAGCTGTTTTTCCTTAAATGGAATTGATTTGAACAAATGGTAAACGTGATTCCTGGACAAAGTTTACCAGTTCTGAATTTTAATGACTGTTTCAGTGCTTTCTAAATGGAGAAGTTGTTGTGACTTGATTTTACAGCGGATTTGAGTGGCAGCTTGCAACAAATCTACTGATTTTTGAACTGCTGTAAAATCCCAGTTTTTGTCATCTGTAGATTGAGCTTTAATGAATTGTACTGGGTGTTATTCTCTTCAACTGACCTTTCGACATGGATCAAAACTTGCAATTCTGAAGATAAATGTTCCAGCAAAGGAAAACTATCAGTAGTTCTAATGATTCCTACATGTAATAGTGATTGACTTGATATGATGAAGCAACTTTGGAAGTTGAGTGGCCTTTGAGAGTTGTAATTGGAAACGATTTGGTAAAATATTGACAATAAATCCTTTTTCATATTTTATTGCTGTATTTAGAAGAGCATTCTGGGAGTCATTGTTTAGAATTGAAGCTTTCAGCATATTTTCAAAACACAGATGCAGGGATAGAATTTCCCAAAAACGTTTTCCAGATAATTATGGGTTAGACCACATTTAGTTTCCCCTAATAACATTAGTTAGAAGGTATAGTCGAGCTGATCCCAGTTGAAGATTTCTCTGACTCTTTTGTAAAGAAAACGTACTGACAGTGGGTCCATGAATGATTACTTTGCAGATAGAAGCTTGACTACTCCTTCTCCACCCTGTTTGCAATCATTATTTTATGATATAAATGAGGATGTTGGGGCCTCTTGGAGAAAGCTTGGAAGGCATTTATCAATAAGGGAGTGTGTTCTTAACAATATTAATGAAGACTTCAGTGGTGTTAGCGAAAAGGCGATTCAGATTCTTTTCAAATGGAAAGAAGATAATGGTGCTTCTGCAACACCTGAGGCGCTGTTTTCCGCATTACTGCACATAAGACGCACTGATGTAGCCAAGAAGTTAATATCGCTGTTTCCAACATTGTTACCTCTGTCATGTTTACTTGAAAATGTTGTCACCAGTGACTGCACCCTTTATGCCTCCTACACACTAAACCCAGAGAATTTGAAGGTTAAAAAAGTGTTACAGTCAAAAGATGAGAAGGTAATGATTATAGGTTGCAATCTTTAGTATTGCTAAATCAGAGCTAGTAAATTTATTATAATTGTTATCCAGTTAATATTATTATTTAGCAATTATTGAATGAGGCTGGTAGGATGTGAAGAATTACATATGGTTAAGCCCCAATTGGTTATGAAGAATTAGCCAGGGGTTTGGAGCCCGTCAGAAATGGCAAAATATTTTGAATTAATAATAGTTTCTTATAGTTATTTGTTTACACAAGACATGTTACAGTTACAAAGTTTAAAATAAAAGAAAGTGACAATATCACAAACTGGAGCAAAATTATATAAGAACGAAAAAGAATGATACAACAGTTATAATACTTCACATAAATTATACAAAAGCATTAGACCTGTTAATCAACAGATTTTCCCAGTAGGTTGAATTCTTTCTAGCTGATTGAAGAAGGGGGTTTTTCAAAATTGTACACAATTTCATAAACCTGGAACATTGAGTGACATGATGTACACTGTTTACCTTACATGTAGTTGTAAGTTGTTAATGTATGAACAGGGCATGGGAACAAATAACTGAAAGAGAACCCTGTTAATTAACTGGCGGATGATAAGAGGTAAAACTTCCAAAACATTATATATGTTACAGGACAAAATTGAAATTAAGGTTAAAATTTTTAACCTATTGATTCTCTATTTTCTTGTATCTTATTCATGGCAAAGGAAATTGAGTAACAACCTGGGTAAAAAAATTTTCACCTGAATATAATTTTGAACAGTAACAACCTGAATAAGCTCCTTACTAACTCAGTGGAGATAAATGTAAGAGATCGAGCTAATAATTGTCTTAAAAAAAGCAAGGTGATCATTTTTTTTCTTTTTTCGTATTATCTGTGTAGGTCCTTGTGTGCTCAACTTCAGAGTCATCTGAAAGATTTCTATTAAAACAAGTTAAAGATAAAGAAAACACATTTGCTGTCAGAAAGGTAAAGCTACAAAAAAGGAAGCTTTTAATAAAAATCTGTGATGACAATGGTAGACAAAACATCAACACAACAAGAGAATTTGCGCTTCTTCAAACTTCAAATGTTTGCAAATTTTTATCAAATTGAATTCTCAAAGACTATCTAAGTTCAAAAAAAGAAACAAAATAAATGAAACTTTTTACTCGTATTCACTTCCCTCATAAAACCGGAAACAGAAAGTTTGATGTAGTTGTGCAACTACAGCAAAGAAATGTACCATAAAGCATGATGCATGTCTGCAATTTTGCCAATCTAAACCTATTACTTTTTTGCCACTCTTGTTGCCGTCACAGTAGTTATAACTGCTAAAGCTTCCTATTATGCATAAAAAGGTAAAGTGTTATACATGAGAGAACTGTGCCTGGTCCGGTCAGTCAGTATGGTTACGTGAAAGGGTCTGTTACTGTATAAAATTCTTCAACTGAGTGAATTGTTTGTTTGTTCCCACATTTTTCAAAGTCTTCCTTATTAATTTTTCAAGCAAACGTAAGGTAAACTTGGAGAGAAATCTGTCAGTTTGTCAAAAGTATTAATATTAATAATTACATTTATGTGATCCTGCTCCTCATCATTCAAACATTGGATAGTGCTATGCAAAGGATAGATCACTATCCATCTGGCCCTGGTTGGATAGAGCTATCCACCGCATAAGTCACTACCCAGAGGAGCACAAAAACAAATTGTGCTATCCTTTGGATGGTTATTTATCCAGTGGATAGCACTTGATATCCACCTTTCGAACAACTGGGGCCAGATAAGTATTACAGGCAAAAAATGTGTTATCCACTGGATAGAAATTTATCTAGTGAATAGAATACACCCTTTGAACACCCTGGCCCTGAAGGCTGTTGACGGCATATTTTGTTCTTGCCCTGATTTTGTAAATCAATTTTTGAACTTTTTTGTTTTCTCTTTAAACAGTGTTTAGACTGTAAGGCACTGAGACAACAGCACAAGCAGTTGCGTAAGACTGAAGAATTTCTCAAAGAACTAGAGATGAAACAAAAAATGGTCCAAGACCTGCTTAATGTTATTGAACAGCTCCAGAATCATCTTCTTACTCAACATGAAGCCATCACCCAGGAGCAAGTCAGTTGCCACAACTGTGGGCAGTATAATATCAAACAAGATCTGATGCTTAAGGAGTTGACCCTTTTACATCATGAACTGGAAAGGATGATTAAAAGCAACCGTCGAATCTCATTTAGTGGAATTCCTACTGAGAGGATCTACAACGTGGCAACAAGAACCTACACTGTGTGTGAGGAACACAAGGAAATGCACACTGAACACAACAAAAGACGACAGAGCTTCTGTCAACATCCTGAGAACTTAACAGAATCTGATGAAGGTGATGACTACATTGAAGGTCCTTTAATGGTTAGTATCAGCTGACTTTGTTGGGATGTATTCAGCTCGAAAGAAAAAAAAGACACGTATACAATGCATAGATGCACAACTATGGATGCATTTTTAAGGGAAAACCATATTAGTTTGAGACATATCATTGACTGATCTTGTTAGTCGGTTGAATGTCCTTGGTATTATCTTGTGGTTGTGCAATGATAAAGAAGAGATGGTGGCCAATTTTGAGCCTGGTGAATAAATGAGAAAGATGCTTGTAGGTGGCTTGAAAGAAAAAAATTGGGGTACTGAGACCTAATAGGAGTCAAACCTATTGCCTTCAGGCAACTAAGTCCAAATGCTCTACCTTTGAGATACAATAAACTATCCACTGCTAGGACTACAATGTCGATAATTATGTGGTTTTGCGCAATGTTGGGTTAATAGGATCTAATACCGAATGATGCATCTGGACTAGTAATCGGAAGGTCGTATGTTTGACTCCTATTGAGAGTACTCAGAGTTTTTCTTCTGAGCCACCAGTGTAACTGACTAAAAAGCATTTCTCATCTTGTGGTCGTTTTGAAGCAAAAGGGGAAAGACGAAGCAATAATGGGAAAGGAAAAAACATTTTACCCCTACTGACATGATATCAAACATTTAGCTCAAAGTTACATATAACAATGTTTTCACTGTGATAATGCCTTTCAATCAGGTTGTTTTAATAGTGTGGGTAGTGAGTTCATTCAGCAATTTGGTGAAAATTGAAAGTGAAATATCAGAGGTGATTCCTTGTTGTTTCTCTTTAGTGTACATTGAATGTCATTTTTGTTATTGGACGGCGGCGCAAAGTTACCCAATCCTTTAAACCAAAGAAATCTACTGCTGGTGATAAAATGAAGGTAGACTATTTTTTATTATTTTTATGCCATTATAGTCAAGTCTACTGCACTGTCATTGATGAATATTTTGGTTTATGTAACACCCCACCTCCAGTACTATGTCTTGTTTGACCACAGGGTTACCATCTTCTGTTGGTGTTACATCCCTGTGCTAGCTGCAATTAATAACCAATAATATTGTATTAATAGTTATGTAATGGCTCAGAGCAATTTGACTTGTGTAAATTTTATTTTTACAAATAGGGAAGCTTAACTAAAGTTTTAATTTGTTCCAGCTCACCAAGTCCAACAGCAATCCTCTCTCATCCAGTGAAAACTTGGGGGTCTCAAAACGACACAGCTACCTGCTTGCACAAGAAAGTCCCATCATGATTTCAAGTGTGGAACAGTCACAGTCACCAAGAGACTGGTCTGGAGTCCCTGCTTTCACGGTACTTATGTAGACATTTACTCTATTAATATTGAAACGTGGTGCTCTGGGTGACAAACTGGAAGCTGATTGGCTGATTGGAGTATTTTTATGGTGTATAATTCCGACGTTAATGGCTAATAGATAAATGGTACTGGCATTGGACATCACAATAAAATTAGTTATGCCATTTCAAGAAGCAGTACAGAAATACCAGGACTGCTAGCTTTTTCATGCCTCTGAAACTTTGATTTTGACTAGGCATGCTGTGGTACACATGAAAAGTAATTTATCATCAATATTATTTATTTCAGATGTGCTCCGATTTAAAAGTGCCATGTTCAAATACTACTTTGAGTAAGTGCATAAAGGAACAGGCCAGGAATACAAACCTTGCAGAGAATCCTAGTACAGCTAAAATTGGTAGAAACAGTCAGGAGATCATCTCCCTACGTTGGTGGGAAGGTACATATGTTTACATGTTAAGCCATTATTTCCTTTTTTCTTTCATCTTATTGAAGAATCTAATACAGTCAAACCTCCATGTTCGATCTCCGATTCGTGTTGCCAGCAAAAGCACAGAGCACTTAATGGAAAAGAACTTTGAAAAATGTGAAAATATCGTGATAAAAAAATTGAATAAATTAAACTGAGAGCAGAGAAATATGTAGCCTGCGTGCAGACGATAACTAAACTCTGATTAGTACCGTCTGCAAAGCAGCGCAGAGATCCTTGTTCTGGACCCCCAACCGACTCAACGAATTACCGGAAGTGCGTTTCGAATTTCCCTTCAACCTGATTGGGTATTACCAGTCTTGCGACAAACAAAACAAAGGTCTTTTTTAACAGGCCAATCGTGGTGCGTACTCAAATCTGGGTACACAGCTGGAAGTCCAGAACAAGGATTTCGGCGCTGTTTCGCAGACGGAGTTAACCAGAGTTTAATTTCGTCTGCGCGCAGGCTAAGAAATATGAAGCAAGCTTTTTTGACGTTTAATAACAAATTTGTATTTATCAAGCTTAACAGCATACTCTTTTTGATTTTCTTTGGCTTTTCAGTTTTGTCTTTTTCGGTATATTCAAAATATCAAACAGTAATGCACAAAATAACAGATGAGTTTATTCCTTAAGATCTCTAAGGTGTTCTTTCATAGGTCAACAGACAATAATTACATTTTTGTTATAGCCGGGTTTAAGTATCACTTGATGACCTCTTAGAATTAAAATGTAACAGCAGCTTAAAAAGAAGTAAATACTAGAGACCTTAAAGTACTGAGACGAGGACGACTACGAGGAAGAGATTTTCTCAATACTAATTAGTGCTCGCGCGGGCATCAGCATCATTTTGGCGGGAAAACGTGGTAGCCGTCGTCATTCTACTCTGGAGTTTAGCACAAACAAGTTATCAAATGGTACTAGTTTTATCATTTCGTCTTTAGGAGAGGGCTTAACCTCCCTTAATAAAAATAACCTTGCTAACCTTTCTGGTGAAACAAACTACAATGAAGCTTTCCGGGTGCCTAATTTTTGAGAGTACGCGAAAAATCTGAAAGTGAAATCTCGTCCTCGAATCTGAAGGTCTCTATCAATCAACCATGTCTGTTCGATCTAGATCCCAGGCTCCCTCTCCTTCTGCAAGTTGTCGTTGATGTCATTTTGCCCCCTTGAGAACTTGCTCACAAGTTGCTATGCCTCTGATGTCAACGATTTGTCTTCTTTTTAGGACTGGACGGAGGTGAAATGGTTATTTAAAGATATGGCAGGGGAAAGGATGTAGTTGCTGGTTAGAGGTGGAGTGAATTCAATCTCGATATTTATTAGCAGCAACACTGAAGGGTGTGAATGCCTTCATTAAACACTAATATTCCTTTTACACGTCTTTAAAGTCACATTCAAAACCAAACTCTCATGCATAAATTTCTACGTGGCACCTATTCAGTGAAAAGCATAATTTTGTTTGCACGTACTTTGGGTTGATGTAAAGTAGTTAGTGTAAGTAGCAAAAACAGAGGCTAAATTGTTCAATTCCTCGAGTGGTTTTGGTTTTCGTGCTGTAAGTTGTATGTGTTTATGCAGTTCTCCATTAGATGGTAGTTATAATTTTGTTCGTAAATATAACAGCAAGTTCCCATTAAAAATATGTCTCAAAGATTAGTAGATCTTCTGAAGCGAGATGAACAAGAAAATGTAAAGTTCTATACGCTTTTTCAGTGTTAGAATCAGTGCCTTCAAATTAAAGGTCCGCGTCTGTGTGTATGGTACGGGACTGTACCAAGATGTTAGCTTTTGTAAGAAGCTAATCTTTCCATTATTATTATCTTTGTATCTACTTTGGGTTGATGTAAACTATGTACCTCATTAGTGCAAGTAGAAAAACAAAGGCGACATTTGCTAATTCCTCAATTTTTATGGTTTTGGTATTTTAAAATTATGTCAATAGCATTGTGCAGTTCACCATGAGATGGTTATATTTGTAATTTTGTTCTTCAATACTAGAGCAAGCTAGTATGTTAGTGCAATGTTTCAGAGGTTGGTTTATTTTCGGAAACAACGTGTACAATTGCTATAAGCTTTTCCTGTGGTAGAATCAGTGTCTTAAATGCGTATTCAAGTAAAACATGTTAGCTTTTTTAAAAAAGTTTCCTTATCCAATATTATTATTCGCCTTTCCATATTCATGCATTTTTATTGAAATCATTAGCAGCTGGAATGTAGCTGTAAGGTATATATTCAACAGAAACAAGCAATATGTTTAAATCTGTTGAAGAACTTACTTATATTGCCAAGATGTGAGTTAAATTTCACGAGTTGGGTGAATATTCCCATTTGTTTTTATCATAATATCTAAGCAGTTCAGAAACACAGCTTGTGTATCTTTTTTTATTCCACGGTCCCTGCACAAAACGTTTCACATTTTGCTCGACGGGAAAACACGAAATATACCACTACGTGATGTCTCTCATACGTAGCCTGCGAGCAAGATCTCCATTTGGGGGATATCGCTCGCGCCTCGCCCGCCCAAATAGGAGAGCTTGCTGGCAGACTACTCACACGTGGTGTCGACAATTTGAAGATTTTTGCAGGGCAGTGCTCAGCGAACCCGCTAACGGGCAAATTAGGATTCTTTAATTAATTTGTAATTTCCAGGTAGCAGAAGCAGAAAACGACTGGCTTTCATTATCCCTCACTTCCCAGGGTTATAATTGTAATACTCACGTCAAGGTTTTAGAATAATAATTGAGCTTTCCCATGGTAGTATGTAAAACCTGAACTTGTAGAGTAAAACGTTTTTTCACCTTGCCGTATATTTTATTATTTATAGACAGGTTAAAATGATAGTCTTTACTTTCTTACATATTTATGTCTCTAGATAATTACTGTAAGTCAAGAGGCTGGTCCTCTGTTTTCGAAAGTTGAATAACGTAGGTTTTTTTTATCTTAGTTTGTGGCCAATAAATGACATTCGATGAGAAGTTGGTTGTGTTGGTGTGTTGATGTCCAGGAGTGTTTCGAGGCGGCCGCGCGCTTCTCGGAGTGTTTGAAGCTCCTGATCTGAAAGATGTGTTATGACTATACTCTCCACTTATATCCAGGTTTGCATGCAGCAGCAAAACTTGCGCTACTGCGTGCAAACTTGGACATAGCTGACTATACCTGGTTCCTCCAAATAGAGGTTTTACTGTAGTTTGTTGATCATGAATTAATGGTCCGATTAAACGTACCTTCCACCATACTGCCGTCTTTCAAGTGTACAGCTTACTCGAAACAGTTGCTCTGGCGCTTATTTAAGGGCGTCTCTTATTTGACGGCGCCGGTGATTTAATTTGTTTGAAAACGTTAACAAAAAAACTGTGGTTCGTATTAACAAAATTTTAAAAGTCCGTCACTGTCCAGATAACAATGACAGCTAATTACATCAGCATTAACAATCCCAAAAATCAAAAATAAATGTGCAAAATACAACGACAACAACAAATGATATGTATTTGCCGATGATTGTAAATTGTAATTTTTTTTTCCACGAAGCAGTTAGTCGTTTAAACATGTCAGTAGGATAGTAGGGAATACTAGGGACCGGTCATAATTTATCGCCTTGGGGGCGCGAAGATTTTTGTTGCTACAACGGAGCGCTAAAGTGATCCCCCTTAAAGCATACAGTGTGGTTTTGATCCCCCCACATTGGCAATGGAAGATTTCATGACCCCCGCCTCTCTCTCCTTCTATCGCTGCCACCACAAAAAGCCAGTGTTACTATATGCAAGCAAGTGACATCTATATTAATAGTTACGTCTCATATGAACCTTGAACAACAACTTCGCATATATGGTCACCTGATATGGACTGAAAATTGTCTGTGAAGGGTTACTCTTCCCATCCAAATCATAGTCATTGTCGCTCTCGACCTCCTCACTGTCGAATTCTTCCTCATATTCTTCATCCTCCGATTCCCCGTCACCTTCATCTTTGACACTTTACGATTCGTCTGTGTTCACAGACTCTTTGAAGCTTTGAAAGGTGAAAAAATTTAAGGCAGAAGCTTCCACAACAGAGGGCAGACTTGCCTCTCCAAAAACTCACCTCAAGAGAGGTAGCTGGAGAGGTGTTTGATGCACTCAAACTAACAATAGCCTGAAGCATCGCAACCTTCAATGCAGAGTTAACCGGGAAATTGGTCAGGCGGTTTCATCGATACTGTGCTGTGACTGCTAGAAAAAGGCGTTTTTAATAAAACATTTCCCGTACCATGCAGGTAGTAGTGGCCATTTTAAACGAAAAAAGCGGATGAAGAGTCAAGCTCAAACGAGGACTCTGCTAATAAATCGGACGAGGAGGCTATCCAAGAGTTAGATGGGGAGGAAATCCAAGAGCCAGTGGAAGGCGTTGTATAGTTCTAGAGTCGGTAGAGGGAGGCGTCGAAGAGGCTACCAAACAAGCGTTGGGGGACGAAGAAGTGAAACTAAGCTAGACCCTTATTAATCATGTATATATTTCTTATATTACTTCTGTTGTTGTTGTTGTTGTTGTTTGTATAAATGACAATGTACCGCCTCGTTTATCGAACGATCTTATTCACTGGGATGCCTTTAACATGTTTAAATGACTCTAAAGAGTTTGAAACATGGAACTTTGAGGACATTTAAAAATGTAGACACTTTTGAGCGTCACGTTTAACATATTAGCACAACTACAGTCAACTTCCTTTCTTGCGGACACCACAGGGACCTTGAGTTGGTGTCCTCATTAGCGAGAGTCCGTGATAGCGGGAGAATATTTCAGTCAAACAGTCTGTTATTTATTTTTGCCGGGGTTTCCGTTATAGCGGGATGTCCGCAAGGCGAGAGTTCACTGTACTGACTATTTCATCACATGATATCGTCGTGTCTGAGCAAGATCATCAAAAAGGTTGCAAATTGATCCCACTGATTCAAATAATTTCCTCCCTTTTTTCCTGGCCTCCACTTTGTGCTTGTGAATTAGGGCTGATCCCCGCTATGTTCTCTTGAAAACCGTGTGATCCACCCCGACAACAAGTAACGGTTCCCAGCGCTGATGACGTAATAGTGGCTCTTTCCATGTCTATCTCATGAACAATCTCATTAAGTTAATGTCAGGTGCTTTTTTCAAAAAGGACGTCTCTCTCCTCCGCGACCCCCACGGAATAGGGGCTGGAGACGTATGACATTTCAGACTAATTTTGAGGTGGTTTAAAAGGCCATTATGGTATCCCCTGAGGTCGTTGCTAGGGAAACGTTTTCAAGCTGTAACTTGACACAACCGAAAGTGACCGATCTCTTCTGATTGTGACGTCATCAGGACACGCCTAAATGTCGCGTGACCGTACAGAGAAAATCGTTTTTTTGCCGAGAAACCTCCATTTCGACTCAAAATATTTAGTACTGTCACAATCCTTAAGGAATTTCCAAACATGTAAGGATGCATTTTCCGCTTCATTGAAAGTTTCAGAAATACGAATAAGACGAGCGTTCCACGAACTACAGTTTTCGACCATAATTTCCCTGTTTTTTTTTTTGCATTTTCGCAAAGGCCATGCTTATACTTTTCTTGAAAACAAAACTGGGTGTTTTTCGGTTGATTCGAAGAAACGGTGACTACATGTTTGTCTCTTTGACAAAAGATCGTGATCATGAGATTTCTATTCAGTGTACAGGTTATTGAAAAAGCTCAAAAAGAAAGCTCAGTTTTCTTTTTGGGGGCAAAGGAAAGCTTTTCATTATAGATTGTTCTTCGAGGAAGTCAACCTTATTTTCTTCACTGCGGAGCGTTTGGCCTGTTCTGAAATGCAACCAAGGCAGCGACGATTTGGAGAATGTGGAGGTACACTTTTTACTCTATAGTCAAGGAAATTACGTTTTTAAGAGGAAATTTGTGTATTTGTAAATGTTTCATAGACGTTTAATTCATTTTCGTATCGGTGTTGAAAAAAAAAAAAATTACAAAATGTGCCCGGATTGAAGATGACGTGCATGATTTTGCGTTGAATTTTGCCGTGTGCTCAGCCGATTTTTACTTGTTTATTAACGGATCCACGGTGTAGTTAGCCAGTTCCGCGAATTGCTTTTAAGGATTAACTTATGGATTTTTTCAATAAAATTTTTCAAGAAATGATTTCCCTGTCCTATTGTTTTGTGTTTGTTCATTTTTGGCTAAAAACACGATCGTGAGACTATAAGTTTAACATCCAAGTTGACTTTTATGCAACTCACTTTACACGCATCACTTCTTGCGAAAGATTTTGGTGAATTTTTGGGCACTACTAAATTTTATTTGAAAATATGTTTTACTGGTTGTTCTAGTTATATCAAGAGATAATTCTTTAAGCCAAATTTTTATGGATATTTTCACTCTAAGTTTACTGCGCAGGTGGGTCTGCTCCGAAGTATCTTGCTTTTATTAACGTGGCAACGTCGAGAAGTCTGCGGTCGTCGACTGCCAATGGGTAGAAAACAGCCACGTTCAATTTCCATTTGTTAATTTTTGATTTGAGGTACAACGAGGTACATTGTCATTCCTCGAAATTATATGCCTTCCTCTCTTCAAAAATTAATATATAGATTTAGCCAAGGCTAAAAGCAAAGCTCTGGTTAATAAAACTTAAACAAAAATAAAAAAATAAATAGTGTAATGCTAAACGGGGACGGCAATGAAAATGGCATCAAGATCAGTAGATCTATTTAGCCAAAAAACAAATTTTTCACGTGCAGGCCCCTTTTTTTACTTTCTTTGCCTTTGTTTTGCACCACCACAAAGCCCTTTTGTACGACTAAAGCGTCAATCTTGTCGTATGTGCTTAACAAAGATTTTGTTTCCTGTGTCCATGTTTGCTTTTATTTTTTCACTGCCTGGCGCTCATTTTCACCTGGCCGCTAGCATTTCTCATTTTCTCACCGCCGCTATGAAATTTTTATGTTTTTCTTCCAACTAAATTGGTCTCCTTTGATCTTTCTCTGTTATCCACGTGAGTGTAAAAAGACACGACTTGTCGGTTTTTTTTCTCTCAAAAAGTCCGGGCGGTAATGTGATTTTCTTCCGTTGCATTTGAGTAGATATGACTCTTGATTGAGTGATTTTATATTGGTGTGCCTGTGGCGCGGACTGACGGTCAGTCGCTCGGGCCAGGGCGGATAAAAGTTTTATCCGGCCTGCTCGGGCGGTGTACTGTTACGCGATTACCAAATTTTCTAGGATGGGTAGATTTACTTAGCTATGGGGCTCCACACTCGGGCGCGTGGAGCTCTGCTATTATGGTTTCACAGAACCTCGAATATTGTAGTAGGAAAGTAACACATTTCTTGAAGTACCCGACCACGGTCATTTCGTTCCATGGTCAGATCGTTCCAAGTCAGATCACACTAATCAATAGTCAGATCGCTCCACAAAATAGTCTGTTCGTTCCACAAAAAAGTCAGTTCGTTCCACATACAGCTATTTCAAGAAAGGTTGTCGGAAAAAGTGCACGCGACAATCCCGAAAGGTATTGTGGGTGGGTTTTAGTTCACTGTTTTTCAAATAAATTTCAAACAACAGCAAGAGAGGCCATGGACGTAGGTTTGCGAGTGCTAAAGGAAAGCAATAAAAGTAGGTTCGACAGCTACAGTGTCAGGAACAGTTTATTGATCATATCCCATATTGCCTTTCGAGATTGTCGCGTGCACAGTTTTTCCGACAACCTTTCTAGAAATAGCTGTATGTTAAATGTCAGGGTCGGCCAGGGTTTTGGGGTATACGGTATACCGGGGCTTTTTAAATCGGGTATACGGTATATTGCAGCTTAAATACGGGTATTCGGTATATCACTTTCTTTGAATTTCAGGTATAAAGTATACCTGGGTATAATTTTGGGTATATTTGGATGAATTTTGGGTATTTTTACGTATTTTGGCGAATTTTTTTCGGGTATACTGGTAGACCACTACCCCTCCCCTGGCCGACCCTGAAATGTGTAAATACCTTCCAGCTCTCTTTGTCGTGAAAATAAGGTATTTAATTATGCACTAATAGCTTGGAGAATGTGCTCAGTATATCAATTCAGTGCCAATCAAAAGGAATGAAACAAAATAAACTCACTTCACGCCGTCAAACAAGCTCTTTTGAAAGGTCGAACATCTGTGGAGCTCACGATGTATCCGAAATGGCCACATTACACGCGAAAAATGCAAAAAAATTGCCGCATGGAATCATGGGAAGTATGGTCTCGATATCATGTCCTGGCGTTCCAGAATTTAAGTTCCAGAATTGTATTGGCAGCAACGAGCCTGGGAAGAGGCTTACGATTCTAGACCGGAACAGGACAAGAGACAGAGAGGTTGCAATTTGTCTTTAGCTGTGAAGCTGGCCAAGAGTTCAAGTCTGTCTACTTGGACGACTTACTACCAATGGAATGGCGTCAGAGACTCACGAAGAGGAAGAATATTTTCCGTCTTTTCCTTCAAAACTGTTTCATATGGTAGAGAATGACAAGTACAATGGGATAATTTGGTGGACCGAGGTGAGACAATATTTTATATTTTTTCTTGTTTAATTTGGCCGATTTAGACGATACCGCGTCGTTCCAATGAATGCGACGGTGCCAACAGTGTACCTTCCAGACCTTCGAATCATCGACGCGTTGTCATGCAGTTAACATATGAGTTAAAGTATACTCTTTGTTCCTTGTTCTGCAGAATGGAGATGGGTTCTTCATTTGCAAAGAGAGAGAGTTCGTAAAATCTGATATACTGGACAAGTACAGAGTCAAGAGTTATGGCAGCTTCACACGACAACTCGGCAAATGTAAGTACAGTCCGTGTGATTTTTGTTTTCCTTCCTTGACAGGTTGGGCCATGTACGGAGTCGTGGGGTCGGGAGGGTGCACTAAACGGAAGCTTTGGTAGGGTGGTGCTGCTGAGGTCTTCCAAAAGGGCTAAAGGGAAAAATGGAGGAAGCCAAGGAAAGAGGGCTGGGAGCTGGGAAGGTAGGAAGTCTGGACCCCTTGTTCTCCCTGGTACCCTGTTTAAAAGGACAAGATGTTTTCAAGGCTGTAGCCCTAAGAACACATAATGATTCATAATGATAAATTAAATACAAGGTACATCACTGCGATTTATAGGTAAAAAACCAGAGCACAAGCCCTTACATGTAAGCCTAAAGTGTGGACCTGCAGTTCAGAAGGCTGTTCGGCGACTTTGAAAGAAACAGTCATTTAGCATTTTTTTTTTTGATATATAAATGATTGTATTATTATTTAATTTGTCTTTTCACTGAAATTGAGTGCTAAATTGCTTTTCTGTTACTTGGTATGCCTTAAGAAGTAGAAATTGTAAAGAAGTGGCCACTATGTCATGTAATATCATATTATTACAATTTTAAAAATAGTTCTAACAAGAAAATTGAAATCCACAAGTTAAATGTATGTGGTGATGTGTATGTTAAGCAAAATAAATTTAAAATCAGCTGAATTCTTGTCATTTGGATTATAAACAAACACTGTCTAGAGATTCCATTAACAGGGTATGTTTTATAATTTTTTTCAATCATGACTAGCTATAGGTTACTTTGCATTATATTTACACTGTATGCATTCAGGCCATCTGATATTACGCGATGGTGCGATTTCGCACAATTGACCTCAAATCGCATCCGATCACACAATTTGAGGAAAATCACATAATTCGTAAAAACATACTGAATTAAAGTAAAGTAAATAATGAATTCTAACTTTAATCAAACATTTTCCCAATCTTAATGTTATTTAATGTGATTTACCATTAAAGAAAGCCTTGCAAGACACCTGAAATCTTCGATCGCAGTATCTGGGCAGCCATTTTGATTTCAGAGACAAGCAGTGTGGTCAGCGATGTAACGGCGTCATGTAATATTAAGCAAGTGCCCTTTTTCTTTTCCGGGTCAAAATAATTGAACAAATTTAACTATTTTGTTTAAAACTAGATGTTTTATTATTCCTTTACATTCAAATTGCCTGTTAAACAACATAAAAGTGGTTTTTCGCCTTTGAAACCTGGTAAAACGATGTAAATTAGCCCTGAAAAAATCGCATAATTTATCGCATAATAGTCCTATCTTATCGCACAATCTACCCTGAAAATATCGCACAATTTCTTATTTTTTATCGCACCCTATGAGATGGCCTGTGCGTTGTCTAAGTTTGGTATGCTTAAACTGACTTTCGACTCAGCTTTGCTATAATAGTCATATTAATAATAGTGCAAGTTTTTGTGGCTTCAGGCAGCTTGGGTGGACTATTTATTCTATAAGACTGACCACTCAAGGTAAACCCTGATCAAGTATGCATGCCCTGTAATTTGATCTTGGCTAGGCTGGTCAAGGTTTCTTGGCAAGCTAGACCAATTTTTGGCCCTGCCAGCAGTGGCCAGTGCAGGCCAATTGTAGGCCAAACTTTTCTGCTTCTCCTCGCCAGGCTTTGCCAGTTTTGACCCTGGCCAGCAACGGCCTGTCCAGGCCATGCAGATCTTGTCTGTTTTTTGCTTTTCCTTCTCAATTTAGGCCACGGCCAACTGCAGCCAGGCCAGGCCGGGCTGACCCTGTGGCCGCGGCTTCCCCGGTTTCTTTATCCCCTGACCAACATGGCCAAAGCCCGGCTCACCCCGGCTTTCAGGCCAGGCTTTAACCCCGGTCTGGCCGGGTTCCTGATGCAAGGGCATGTACATTAGCTCTTCTTTTGGGGGATCCTGCAAGACATCTTTATATGAGTGGTCAGTAGGTAAAAGGAGTCTTGAGAGATGGCATCCTATTGGCACTTGCTCTGCTTGCATTCAAAATGGAGATCTTGCTTGCATGGTTAACCCAAATATCACGACTTGCACCAATTAGCACTAGGCCTGAGATAAATTTTAATCTGGGTTTCATTTTCTTATTTTTAAAAGTACACTCGTGGATAAATTTGTCTATTCTTTTGAGAAAATCCAATCATCAAATTGTAGAGAAAAAGGAACAAAGTTTTGAATTTTCTTCTAAGCTTTGATCATGCATATCTGAATTCAAATTTGTACTAGCCCTGGGTTATCTTAATTAGCTTTAAACAACCTCAGCATGCCAAGAAAGTCGTGTCCGATAGCCCGGGGATAGTGATGGATAGTAAAGGATAGATAGGGATAGTGAGTGCTTAGTAAACCTCCCAAGGACATGTGCATCCATAAATCGATGGTTGCACTGCTGCAAACTTTATGGGGAATTTACCAGTAATCTGGCACCGTGCGGGGTGCCCAGATCATTCTTTAATTTGCAAGATCTTTTCTTTCTATATCAATAATAAACCTTTCCATTGAATATCAAGAAGTTTTCTGTCTCAATGTTTATCAAATGGACGAAAAAATGGATTTGCACAAATTTGCTCCTTCCAAATATGTGGCAAATATGATATAATTTAAGCAGTTATTGTTTAGATACACATGTGTACATGTATACAGGACAGGCACAATTTTTTTATCATTTACCAACTGCATGTCTAACATTACACTGTACACTGCTTAATCTTTTCCAGAATCCTTTTAGTTGTGAGCATTTTCATGGTTTAAAAGCTCAGCATTGGATTATTCATTTATTCATTTATTGATTAAGTTTTGGTGTGAGGGCCACTATGGAGAATACTAGAATTTTAAAGATCTTTTATTAAAATCACTATTTGTAAATAGGCTTTTTATCATGATTGTTGCAATTTATTATTATCAATTTTGTTTTTAGAGGGCCACTAGAGAGAAAACGTTTCGTAGTAATTGGAGTCATCCTCTTAAATTGAAGGTTATATGGGTTTTGTTTTTGACCTTGCATGCGCTGTCGGTTTGAAGGATGTTTCAGGTATAACGTATAACCCCATTCCACCTGGGCATAAAAAACGATTTTCACTTAAGGTTCAAAAGGATGCATTATTGACTTGGAAGCTGCATGACAGTGGTAATTGGTAGCTGCTGGAGATTTTGAAGAACATTTAGTTTTTTATCATTCTAATGTACTCTAGATGGCTTCCATAAAAAACGAAGACAAACCCAAGAGCGAGCAAATGGGCCCTCATCCTATTACTGCCATGACGAAGGTTATTTTAAAAGAGGTTGTAAAGATTTACTCGTGAATATCATTAAAAAGGTTAGTAACACTTTAGGTTAGTATGTGTAACCAACTAATACACAGATGTAAAAGTATGTGTCAAAAATTACACATAAGATAATGATATTATTATATATTTTTTGAAATTTTATTCATCATTAGTCAATGAATAAGATCATGAATTTTGTTCTTTAATTGCAACACTCCTGAAGCTTCTTGTAGATTGGGAATTTAGTATAATTAAGAGGCTAAACTAGTGATTTTGGATTAAATGCAATTTGTTCTCTCATTTATAGGAAAATCAGGGAACTAAAAAAGAAACATCCTCCAAAGCGGGTAAGGATTAGACAGTACAGAAGTGGGGGACTATATGGTCGGCTGTTTGTTGTGTTAAGCAAACATATTTATAGTGGGGCTCCCTCGCGCTGAAGTGCGCGTGGGACAGAGCCCCATACTCATAGAATATGGTCAATCTCTTTTCTTTTGGTTGTCACGTGACTGACTGAGCGTATGTACGCGTCTACAGATTGTACAGGTAGGGTAGGGGAGACTATCAAAAGGAAGGGAGGGGTGTCTCAGGCGTGTCTTGGCAAATCCACATCTTTTACATCGGTCATTCACGATATGGTCAATTGACAGCTGTCAAAACAGGATAGCCACTGATCAGTATCACATTGCCATATCGAGGGCTCATGTATCAACTCATCAAGGAGACGTGATTTATTTGGAAGCTGTCCGCTGACTAGTAACTTGTTTTACTACATCGCGATCAATGCATGTTCAATCTCATTCTTTCTAGCTAGTTTGAGAGCACAGGAAAACTGATAATGCACACATCCATTGGACATCAATGTTGTGATCAATTGACAGCTGTCAAAACAGGGTATCCGCTGACCAGTATCACTTGACCGTATCGCTTGCTCAGGTGTTGACCCATCGAGGTCAAGTATTTTTTTGAAGTTATCCGCTGACAAGTTACTAGTTTTCAAATGATCACAGGCTCAAGTTTGATTTTTTTTTCATTCATATGAAATATGTTTTGTTTTTGGGCTGCACAATTAAAATTTTGATTTAAAACTGACCTCGGACTCGAAAATTCAGCCAGCTATTACAGGCAAGACAGTTGCTTTCGACTTTGCTCACCATGGTCACGCGTTGGTCATGCTCTACATCCATTTTTTATGCTCTGATCAAAATTTGACAGGTTAGCTCATGCGGAAAATTTATGCGGCATCTTGGATCTTGTTTACTTTGACAGCTGAAGCTGCCAGAGTTTTGTGTCAACTTTTGATGTTTTTAACTGTCTTTTTCCACTGGATACACAAAATGAAATTCAGCTGCTATCAGGAGTACTCTGTTATTCATGGCTAGCTGATTTTTGGTTGGGAAATTAATACATCACTTGTCAAAGTCGGGAATCCGATTCCGGATGGCATCGTTTTTGTTTTTCACCTTGCTTGATGCGTAAAGGTTGAAAAGTCTGAAGCAATACTGGCCTTACTTGATACCTTTCAGGAGCTGCATCTCAAGTGGTAAGCCTCAGTAATTATTGTGTTTGATGTTTGTTTTTTATATCTAATTTAACGAAGTTGAGCGTAGTTTATGCGGCTATGTAGTCTATGTAGTTTATGCACGTTTGTAAGATTTGAGACAATTTGATCTGACCAAGAATCAGGTTTGATATAAGCTTACACAACTTTAAAAAGTCTTTAGACATTTTCTCACCGCAGATAGAAAGAAAACGTTCCAAAGAACATTTAGTTATAATTCTGGCTGTAAAAGAAAGCTTTGAGCGATTTTCTCGCCTCGAGTTCATCTGTGAAAAAAGTAAATACCGGGAAGCCGGCTTAAAACATAAACTTAAGCTTTAAGCTTGAAGACTCAGGATTTTTAGAGACACTTTAATATTTGTCTTCGTGAATGAAAAATGTTGTCTCTGTATATGTTTCGCCGAATTATATTTCTTTTATTGATTTTTGGTAGTCTGTCTTGTAATTTTCATCGCTGTGCCGTTTGTTTTCAGTCGTTCAGTGAACATCGCTTGCAGGAGTACTCAAAATGCCGCGCGTATCAAACGCTTTTAAAGATTACACTTCGATAAATCCATTAAATAAAAATAATAATAATTTAACGTAATAATTTCTTTATTATGTTGGAGCTAAACTCTAGTATGTTCGTTTAAACATTCGCTACAGCTCGCACTGCGAAAGTGAGAACAACCGGCTGGCCGTATATGTGATTTTGGAAATTTTTTCAACGGTTTAGCCAAAAGCCCACGCGTGCTTCGATCGTCCTGGATATTGAATGAGTGCAATTTTTGTTGCAAAATTGTGAAATACTGCATTCTCATTTCTGTCCGAGGTCTGTATGATAAAAACAGTACCTCATAATGCTGTTTCACCTCAGATGTGATGTATAAATGGTATAAAAGGTTGGTTTACATGCAACCACATTTGTTGGCAAGGTTTTGTAAAGTAAACTTGTCAAACGCAAAAGAATTCGACCTGATTTTTTTTCCAGGCCTAATTAATCTTACGGTGATCAAGAGCCATTACGGCTCTTAAATGTGATCGAAGATGATTGCTATTTCAGGGCTTCTGATATTTCGCGGAAAAAAAAGCAAAATTTCGCGGGATTTTCGAGGGCAAATTCGCGGAAAAATCGGCCGATTTCGCGGGATTTTCGCGGGAAAAAAGTCAAAATTCGCTGAAAAATCGGCCGATCTCGCGGGAGAAGAGTCAAAATTCGCAGAAAAATCGGCCGATTTCGCGGGATTTTAGCGGAAAAAAGTCAAATTTCGAAGGATTTTCAGGAGCAAATTCGCAGAAAAATCGGCCGATTTCACGGGAAATTTCGCGGGGGAAACTTCGCCAAGAAACAATCAATAAAAAACAGCCGATTTCGCTGGATTTTTTTGGGCAAATTTCGGTAAAATCGATCAATTTTGCGTCGATATGACCAGCGTTGTTTAACACTGTTTTTTTAACAGGGATAATCATTTGCTCTTTCAACAACAGTTCGCTCGAGAAATGAGCGAATGCAAAAGCCATTAACATTATGGTTAGTGCCCAGTTTTTCGCAACATTAATCTAAGAACGCCTGGTAGTTTTGGGACGTTGTTTACTCGTTGCAGTGATGAAGTTTCAAGATAAATTTGGACGTTTAGGGTGAATAAAACAGGTCTAATGGCCAAGATAAGTATTAAATATGTTTTGCCGACATGTATTTGGAAATATTTCTGGCAGATTTCCCGGTATTTCGCGTTTTTGGGGGAATTTCGCGGGATTTCGCGGAAATACCTGAATTTCGCGGGTCCGCGACCGCGCGAAATATCAGAAGCCCTGCTATTTTTTGGGTGTACATATGAGGTTATCAACTCGATGTAAGATTTTGTTCACTCTTGGGCTGTTTGCAAATTATTTTTCTCTAACATCACTTAGCCTTTCCCTCAAAAGTCACATGAATGTGCTATATGCTTTAAAGTTAACTGAATTGTGGAATACAAGTTTATTGTTTGATTTAAATTATAAATATATTAATGGAGCCTCGCTTTTAGCCCTGGTTAAATCTATATATTATTTAACAACTGCATTTTTGTTCAACGTCGAGGAATTACATTTATTCAACTTCAAAGAACAATCTATACAAACAGGTGACTATAATTTATCCATTCAACGTCAAGAAAGTCCTATTTATTCAAGAATTATATATTGATTCAAGAAAATAATATTCATTCAACAAATTTTTGTTCATTTAAGAAATTTATATTTATTCAACAAAACCACATTATTTGTTCAAGAAAAATATATTCATAAGTAGGTTGAGTATGATAGTTCGGGTGAGCGTAGCCCTGAATAGGACTGTTGTTGTTGTTGACAGTGACTGACGTTTCGACAACCAGTGTGGTAGTCTTCCTTAGAGTCAAAGTGAGTTGTATCACGTCAGTTGATGGTATTAAGCTCTCAGGTTATTGACCTGATTGGTCAATTAAGTCGCGATGTTATTGGTCATCTGTCAGATAAGCCGTGATGTTATTGGCTGTGAAGACTCGTAATGTCATTGGTGTGTTTCGATCCGTCTATTGTCAGTTAAACATTCGTCTAGTGGTAGTCAAATTGTCAGTTGTCCAGTCGTTCTCTCGTAGTTAATTTTGCTTGATTCTGTCAATAAGTCGTTTGTACGGTGCCGGTAACTCTGTTGACTACGATTCAGTGGCGTTTGTTCTTAAGTTAGTAAACCAGCTTTCTAAAGTACGTCGTTGATACTAGTAAATGTATTAAGAATACATAATACACATCGCAAAGTCCCAGTCGATTTGATATTTCGACTGAAAATGGTGCTCAGCAATGTGATTATTGTTGGTGTGCAGTTTTCTCTAAAAATCATTTATTCTCTCGACTCAAGCCTTGCTAAACAATAATAAGAAATCTCATGTTACATAGGTTACGTCACGAGACGAACAATAACCTGACATCCCCCTTTCGGGAAATCGAAAGAAAACATAAATCAAATGAAATCAGTCTCTTTTTGCATTCTATAATGCAAAAAAATAAAACCGAAAAGAAAATCATACGAAACGTCTCAGTCCGGTTTTCTTACTTTTGTCTTCGAAGAGTCTTTCCATGACCTAAGCCTATTTTTGAAGGTCCAATCGTTTTGGCGGAATAACAGTTCTGCCTGAACAAGTTACTGTGAAATTGCTGGAACTTTCACACTTGGGCAGGTCATCTCTTTCTTCTTTCTCCAGCTTAGGAGCAAGGGTTGGGGTTTCAACCAGTTGTCTCCTCTTTCTCCGCAGAAGGGATTGGTCGGTTTTAACCACGTACGATCCAGGTTCGGGGGATTTCTGCACTATAACAGCAGGGGCACTCCGGTCTGTCACCCAAACTTTTTCGCCTGTTTTAGCGCAGGTAGAACTGAAGCACGATGTCACCAGTTGTAGTTTTTTGCTTGCTTGTGCTTGTACTCCAGCTCAACTTTTCTCAACTGCTCTGTTTCTGGCCATCTTGGTGTTAATTTCTCTGGAGCCAACGGAAGGGTAGAACGTAGTTTTTTTTCCCATCAGTAGCTCTGCAGGGGTGTACCCATTGTACAGTGGCATGGACCTGTATGACAATAGTGCCAAATAAGGATCTTCAGACTTGGTTATCAGGTCTTTAGTCGTCTGAACAGCTCTTTCTGCTTTCCCATTGCTTTGCAGGTAGTGAGGACGACTGGTAAGGTGAGTAAATCTCCATTCTTCAGCACATTTGGAGAATGTAGCGGCTGAAAACTGTAGACCATTATCAGATATAATGATGTCTGGGATACCATGAAGACTGAAGCACGACTTCAGATGACTGATTGC